CATTGGAGTCAATAAATACATTATACATGTACATGCGAAAAGAATTATATATATATATATCTGAACTTACAAAATGTAAACATTGTTTTGGTCGTAATCTTAATTTCACTTTTATCACAGTTGATTTAGTACAATTACGTACTTCTTGTGAGAGTATCAGACCTTCACAAACTGAAACGTTGCCACGATTATGAACAACGATAGACCGACATGATCAAACCACCGATGCAGATGACGCTAGAGTCTGCATACAGTTAAGATTGGAATAAACCTTAACCGTCATCAGCGTGACTTCGAGAATTTTTTTTCTTCAAATCTCCAGAGAGAAGATATGCGTCTATAGGAAAAGCAAGAGGATAAGCTGCGGGCATCTTAGAACTCAGCATGGAATCTTAATGCTTAGATTGCTTGCAAAAACGAAAGGCGTAAGTTTGTTTGGGGCCCTATATCTTGGTGGTTTTGTTCAAGAACCCAGGATTCCACGTTTTGAGAAATAAGCAGCCTTTTGAGTTTCATGATTGTATAGTAATATCATTCATATGTCTGCCGTATATTTTGTCCTCGTCTCATCCGATGACCGAAACGCACAAAGAAAGAACTTGTTATCATATTATGTTATACTTTCCTTTCTAAAGAAAGGACGCCCAGCTTAAGAATAAAATCAGAAACTCTGAGTGGTGCCCATGCGGAACTGGCAGCCAAACAAAAATTCATATATCGTACTCCAAGCCGGCCCAATGCATGCAAAGGTGAGAAAGTACTGGCCCAGTCCTGCTCAAGGACTCTGAAGACTACAAGAGCCCGGAGTACCTCCTACAGCGAATATAACCTCTGCACTAGAGACTGTGATGTCCATTTATCAAAAATGAACTTGAATAAGAAAAAGAAAGGACGTCATAATAATGAATCGGGTGTTTTGGGGTTTGTTTGTTGCTTTATAATAATAATATTTTCCACTAAAACAGAAATTTAGCACTTACACCTTTCTTAAAATGTACCTGGGATATGTGCGTGTTATTAAATACTCATAAAGTACATGTATATGATTGTAGCCGTTACATCTAAGATAGAATTAATACGTAAGTATTATGACAAAGTTCATGATATCTCTACTTGGTCTGTTTCCAAGCTCTGAGGAATTCTTCTGCGTTGATCTTGCCGTCGTCATTGGTGTCCACTGCGTCCAGTACCTGGTCAGCGAGGCTGGGGTCCTCCCCCGCCCCTTCCAGGATGGTGCGCACCTCCTCCAGACCGATGTAGCCAGAGTTGTCCGAGTCAAAGTCCTGGAAAGTGGCGCGGAGCTGACTCTCTCTGAAAGGAGCCAGAAACTCGGTACTATTTAAATTATATTGTGGTAGGCCCAATAGATTGTTGTAAGAAACACAGCATGATAATATATACATTTAGATAGATAGATAGATAAAGATAGATGGATTGACGGGTAGATAAATAGATACAGATAGATAGATAAAATGTATTCTCATTGAATACGAGCATTCTTTCTGTTCATTCGCAACACTTGATAACGCTTCGTTTTTAGGGCGCGTTAAGAAATAAGCACAACGTCGTATTCACACAGATCTTTCACTTATGTAAATTGTAATCTTTATCTGGAACCCGAAAAGACAGGCCACAACACGCATACTATGAAATCTAAATGTGCAAATTGTTGTTTCTGATTCGCGTATGACGTGTCAAAATGTACCATAACATAACATTGCATTTGATTTGCTGCTGGTCGCACAGATGTGTCAAATTAAATGTGTCTTTAAAGAGCTAATGGAAACAAGCCGTTTACAAGCTGCTCTTTCTGAAAGATATTCTTTAATCCAAATAGAGCATTAGATCTGCAATAGTTCTGTTGGGTTGGCAGTGACATAACATTGTTTATCAAAGAAGGGTTTGGGTTTAGATAACATTATTCATCAAAGAAGAGTTTGGGTTTAGTTGTTTCTGCATGTTACAAACAGTGTTGCTATAAAGACCTTACAAACCGGCGTTTGTGGTGTAGGGTAAAGCGCTCTGCTTTCGTACGCCGGAGACCGGAGTTCGCTTCCCGAATAGAAAGAAACATAATTTTATAGAGTATTTCAGTCTTTCTGCTCGGATGTTGTATCCTTCTCAGCCTGGGTTGGCCCCGACAGGCAGGGGCGGAAGCCTGTCTCTTAAACCCTCTAAATCGCGTCGATGGGGGCGTAAAAACTCCTTTGTTTAATAAAAAAAAAAAAAGACCGGACAAACCTGTTTCGAATGTTACCTGCACTGAATCTCCAACGAGTTCTTGGATGTGTTTTCAGTTATACTCGTATTATATTAAAACGGCTCGCAGCTGTGGGTAATTGGAGGGCGCCAATGGTAGGCCTTACTTCTTTTCTTTCCCTCAGTTATTTCTGCCTGCCTGCCTGTCTGTCTTTCTGTATGTCTGTCTGTCTATCTGTCTGTCCATCCGTCTGTTGTCTTTCTGTCTGTCTGTCTGTCTGTCTATCTGTCTGTCCATCCGTCTGTCTGTCTTTCTGTCTGGTTGTCTGTCTGTCTTGCATTTTCCTGCATTAAATGACCGTTATTTCGCGTGCTTCTCTTTACTCTAACAATAGCAGACACTTACTTTAGTTACTAAAATCGGAATTTCAAAATTGCTCGACATTCAAGAAACTTACGTGACGTCAGCTGGGTCTCTCTTGTTCAACGCTGACCAGTACTCGTCGAAGGTTAACTTATCATCGTCATTTTTATCAATCTGGTCAAACCAGTCCTGAAGCAAAGATCAAGTTGACATGAAAAGAAAGTCACTGTAACTGTAGATTAGCTCTGGAATATGATTTGGGGGGGGGGGT